GTTATCCATTCCTTCTTCTTATCCTCTGTGAGCAGGAGCAGGAAACTGTTTTCTTACTGTACTGCTAATTTTTGCCAGTTCAGCTCTTTGAATTTTCTCCCCTGAATCCGATGAGAAGTGGTTCTGATGGAGGGGAGCAGATGGGAATGTAGCACATCCAATTTAGGTTAATTTATACTCCCAGCAAAGCTACTCTTGAGTGCAGTTTTATATGTTAAAGACCTACATTGCTCCCTTTACAAACAGCAGTAAGAGATTCAGGGAAGAGTGTTTAAGATGATTTTGTGGGGTGGGGTGGAAGCAGTGATCTGAGTGGCTCAAGAAGCCTTCTGAGTTTGTGCAGTCTTTTAGAGAAACTCCTGCAAGATGAAATAGTCTGTCCTTCCTTTGAAGCATTGGTTTGATTTCATAGTCTAGAAAATGTTAAAAGGCTGGACTTTGCATGTATGTTTTCAATAAGAAATAATTAACATCTGCTTCTCTCAGTGGTGATTCAAAATAATGAGTTTCTGGTTGACACCTGTTGCAGAAGAGATGCAATACCTATTTTTGTTGGTGCATTGCTGAAGCAGACATGCAGGGAGCGTGTCCGTAAGGTTCAGTTCAAGAAGCTGTGAGAGCATAGTATGAAATATGTCAGTGACTGGTAAGTGCTTGTGCAAAGGTCAGCTCAAAGCACCGTTTGTGTATGGACAGAGGCAAGAAGGTCCTGTGCTGGTCGATACCACGCTTTGAAGAGTCTCTAGGCACCTTAACTGTGATCAGAGAGTCAGGATTAGGGATTTTATGTTCCGGGCTCGTTAGAAGGCTTTGTAAAGCTCTTAGATTAAAAGATTACAGTAAGTTCTGTGGATAACCCTGGCAAAGAATTGCTGCAGAAATAACAATCTGAACTGAAGAGTTAGTTCATGTTATGTAACCAGTGTAAGGGAAGGAAAGCTCCCAAACCATGTTCTTAGTGGAGTATACATGGGGAAAAAGTTTGTTGTCTTTCAAGAAATAATTGATTGGTGCTGAGAAGCATGTGCCTGTTTCAGCAGATTGGCTGAGATGCTTCACTCTGTTTCAGCTTCATAAATTCAGGAGAAAGCTTTTCTTTCAAGTGCCATTGTGTCTCCCCTGACCCCCGTGTAAGGCAGTCATGTCTGTGGCAATGAGTGGGGATTTTTGATTAGGAAAGAAAGAGCTGTCGAAAGGACTGAAATTTTTCTCTCATTTCCCCATTACTCCTAGTTTTGTTTAATGTGGTAGGTGTAGTGTAGTCATTGCATCTGTCCTTTACAGACTGATTAATTTATGTAATTCTTTAGAATATTCATAGGTTAATGTTTCCATAATTAACAGGAATTTGGTGAGAGGAGAGAGACTGGGAAGCGATACCTAGAAATCCTTCTCTGAGCACATAATCCTCTTTAAAACCAGGAGTAAGGTATTTTGAGCAATCCCTCAATAGCATAAAAACTTCTTTGTCAGTAAGGATCATCTTCTACAGATTTCTGTAGATGGGTTTAGGGAGAGGAGAGGACTATCCAAATCCAACTATGTGTGTGAATATTTACATATGGCCTGATAGTGAAGACTAAAACCTAATAAAGGACTGGGATGGGAAACTGTGTGTGGAATGTTCTTGTTAATATCAAGTTTTTAGCCAGTAAACTCTGAAATTTGCTGTAGCACTTCGGTCTTTGCCAAACTTCTTTTTTGTTTAGCGTAAGGAGCTGCCCAGAACTGTTTCTGTTCTGGCCTCTTCAGGCTGTGCATTTGTAGGCAGAGGAAAGAGAAGGGAGATGGTCATAAAAATGCAAATTAAACAATAGGTACAGAAGATTGAAAGGATTTATTGGAAGCAAACTGAAGGGCTCTAACTGACGGAAAAATAAGGTTTGTGTGTGGGGAAAAAAAACCCTCTAACTTTTTAGTATTTTGACTAATGCTCTTTGTACGTCGGTTTCTCCCTGAGTTCCCCTTGCACTGACCTCCATTTTCCTCGTTTCTGTTGGAGCCCATATGATTTCTAAGTCTTTCTTATTTCCTTACATAGGTGATAGAAAGGAAAAGGGATATCTTCGTTCATCTCCAAGTTCTGTGGCGCTTTCAAGGAGTAATAGAGGCAGAATTTTATTTATTATTTGTCAGTCTTCTGGCAACGTAGCTATCTGTTCCGGTCCTTGTAGAAAGGAATCTGCTGTTTTACCCTGCTTTTGTATTGTGCTCATGTTGTGAGCACCCTCAGATGCTATCCCTGCTTCCAGACTTTCTTCTTCTTTTTGTCTGGGATAAATGTGGGCACACTGACTTGGATTCCTGTCCATAGCTCTAGGGAATCTTGCACGAAGTTCTGAAAATAATATTTTAATCTTTCTAAAGGTTGAGTGAGGAAGAGATTAAGCCCTTAGTATCTCTACTCTCAGCAGGCTCACACAACACAAATAAGCTGGACAAATGTAGCTTGTGTTGTGTCATTTTAAATTGGATTTGTGCTTGGGAGGTGTTGCTCAATGAGTGCCTGAAAACTCAGTTTAAACAATATTTACATTTGATGTGTGCTTTAAAATATCTTGCATGTGGGTCAGTTTTTTTCTTTTTAATATGTGAATTCATGTTTGGACTTTCATGATAAATAATAGTGTGTTTTTCTAGAAAGGCTTTTGAGTTGTAATACGTAAGTGAGCTTAAAGCTCTGCTCAAGGCTGCAATTGTGAGTTTTCATTTAAGAAGTGAATGTAATTGGGTTTTCCTGTTACTCAGACTGCAGGGAGTTCTGGGCTCAGCTGGAGCCTTATGCCCTGGAAACGCAAGAATAGCCACCAGCAGCGTGTGTGCTGGAAGTCAGTCTGTCTCTTAGTTTCTAGTTAGGTTTCTTTACTGTAAAACAACTGATGTTTTACATTCAGGCTTATACCCCTCTGCTAAATTTGGATCCTCCTTTTCAAATCTACCCTGAAACAGCAGGGTTTTGGTATTTGAATACTTTTCGTAACTACTTGGTTGTCCAAAGAGTTATGTTATTTAGTTATTAGTTATTTGTTTATGTTATTTAGTACAGTGGACTGAACTAGCTTCTTGCCACAGTACCGTTCTTTAGCTGTGCAGAAGCTAAAGTACTGGAAAGCCAAAGTAAATGTGTCATGTTATTTGTATAACTTCTTTGTTTTTTTTTGACCACAAACTATGCAAAACAGGACCGGGATGGGGCAGAAGTGAAAGGGATTGCCTGGGAAAGATTATCCAGTTTCTTATTTTAAATACTCTTTTCAAAAGGTCTATTATGGGCCTCTGTTGGACACAGTAATGTTAGACCTCTGACTGTTCAAATACAGCAGTTCAATGTGCTTTCGGTGAGATTTGGATTTGATAAAACTTGTCCTTATGCTCTAGGACTTCATCTGGAGCCTGCACCTTTGTAACTTGGCCTGGAATTTAGATGTGTGCATTAAAATAGCATCACCTGTGAATTTGGCTTTTACTGCTTCATGGCTGAATCCTGGTAACCAGAAGAGCAAATAAACTTTTTTTTTTTTTTGTCCTGTCTTCTTGAAGGAATGTGCATTTACACTCGGGCACCCTAATTTGTTCTAGTAAAAGCAGTTGCCTGAACGGGTTTTGGAAGTTGTGAAGCAGTACCAGCTAGTGAATGAAGGTCCTGGCTGGAAACTGAGACTTGCATTCTATTTCTGACTCTTACCTGCTGTGAACTTAGGCGTGCCGTTCTGTATTTCCACCTGTTTCCTTCTCATCTTATAGCTGTCTTAACTCTTTAAACTGCCGGCTGTGTGCACCCGGGGCTTACTGTTTGTGCCACGTATAGCAGAACCTCATCGTGACCGATGCCCCTGCTGCTCCTACTGTGCTGATAACTGGGGACAGACTTTACTACTTCACACAAGGCCATGGGAGAAATATAGAGCTGCATCGTGTCAGTTTAAAAACCCACAAAAACTTGTACTCATCCAGTTCAGAAAGTGCAAGGTGATTTTTTTTTTAAAATTTTTTCCCCCAAAATGTCTTGTTCCCCAGCCCATACTAAGCTGCTTCTCTCTGAGGACAGCAAATGGCTGAAGCCTATGGCCAGGCTTTTTTGAACCAACTGTATTTTCTCTGAACCAGGGCTTTTCAGCCATGTAAGATGCACAGCTCTCAAGAGTAAATCAATACAAAGCCTGGAATTTAAGCTGGTTTATCATTGCATAAAAAAAAGCTTTTTTTTTTTTTTTTGTACTTAGCGTGGAAAATGCTCAAAAGCTTCTTATCTTTGAAAAACATACCTATAGAAACTTCTCAAAACTGAGAATTGACAAACGTAAGCTTTCAAAAACGTTTTTGTGCAAGGCTATAAATATCTGAAAATAGATATGGAATGGTTGGCTGAACTGGAATTGTAGAATTGCTTTTATAGAGAAAGAAGTGACTGTTTGTCAAAGTTGGTCCTTTTTTTTTTTTTTTTTTTTCCAAAATACTGAAATTACTGAGTGTGTGCTGTGTGAAAGCAGTGCTGGTATTTTGCAAGTGGATTTGTCAGTGTTGTAACACAGACAATACATGTAAAACTTAGATTTGAATTAGTTTCGTGTTGCCTGTTTATTGTTTACCCTTGCAGGCCCATCAGAGGGCTTTCTGTCCCATACTTCTGGAAGCCCCGACTGTTCTCTGCAAGGTGTTGCTGGTGGTAGGTCATGGCTCTCGTGAGACCCCACCTCCAGTACTGCATCCAGCTCTGGGCCCCCCAACATAAGAAGGACACGGAGCTGTTGGAGCAGGTCCGGAGGAGGTCGTGAAGATGGTCAGAGGGCTGGAGCCCATATGAGGTCAGGCTGAGAGAGTTGGGGTTGTTCAGCCTGGAGAAGAGAAGGCTCCAGGGAGACCTTAGAGCAGCTTCCAGTGCTGAAAGGGGGCTGCAGGAGAGATGAGGGGGCTCTTGATCCGGGGGTGCAGTGACAGGATGAGGGTTAATGGTTATAAGCTGAAAGAGGGGAGATTGAGATGAGATATTGGGAAGAAATATTTTCCTGTGCGGGGGGTAAGGCGGTTGCCTAGAGAAGCTGTGGATGCCCCATCCCTGGAGGGGTTCAAGGCCAGGCTGGATGAGGCTTTGAGCAACCTGGGCTAGTGGGAGGTGTCCCTGCCCATGGCAGGGGGGTGGAACTGGATGGTCTTGAAGGTGGTTTTCAGCCCGAACCATTCCATGATTCTCTGAGTGTATCAGTTCCAACCCAAACCATTCCATGATTCTCTGACTGTATCAGCTTCTTCACAGGGGGATCATCCTCTGCTTTTCTCAGGGTTGAATTTCATCCAGTTGCATCCCATGTCCAGGAAGGATTACCTGAATGTCTGGGATCAGGTGGACTGATGCTCCTGACCAGCAGGCCAGCTGTTTCTTTGCTTGTTTTGTCTCTCCTTTGCTGGAGGCAGGCTGCTGTTTGCCAGTTGTGCATTTAAGTGACTTGGTGTTGCAGCTCGGGTGCAGCCTACGGGCCGTTGCAGCCTTGTAATAATTCATCTCAGTAAACTTGGTGCATTAGCAGTTTATATTGGAGAATACCTTTGTCCTTTTTTCTACTTCATAGCTTTTGCTATTTTGCTATTTGTTTCTAAAAATAGAAAAAGAAAAAAGAAAGCCAACCCTTCCTTGTTCAGACATGCCTGAGCTATTATGTGGAACAGTCCAGGTACCATGATTCAGAATCTCTTACTTTTATTTCAACTTCACTTTTTACTTCCTCAAATCTTAGATGGTAAATTTTTAAAAGAGCTAAAGAGGTATATAGTAACATACTGGTGTCAGTTTCTGTGTTAGGATTGTACCCTCCCATCTTCACTCTAAGCTCAAAATATGGTTTTTATCTAAAACACTTGCAGGGAGTAAATAGTTTCTGATCCCCTCAAAACTCTGGTATTTGAAAAAAAGCATGGTAATGAATATAGGCAACGTGTGTGTCCTTTTGATGCCAGAAGACCTAGGCATCTGTTGGAAAAAGGTCTCTTGCCCTATGTCTTGCTTGGCATTAGCTTTCACCTGACTTTTTCAGTATCTCTCATTTTCTAACATGGACTGTGCGATGTTCACAGAAGGTACGGCATAGTACCTATGTTATAACAGCCTCTGGGCTACCAGGATTTTAGTTCTGCTTTGTCACTTTGAAGAATTTCTTAGAGGACAGTAACGTTCATTTGCAAATGAAAACAGTCATTAAAATAATGTTTTTGTGTGTTGTTTGTCGTGACTGGAGTTCTGATATTAAGTACCCGATATGAGAAATACCTAACGTGATTCCTAGCAACCTGAGTAGTCACAGTGATGGGTAGAGTGAACTAAAGGTGTTTAATGTCTTAGAATAACAAGTCCTAAATCCTTACGACTTTCAGAGTTGCTTTTTTAAAACACGAACCACTGGATCACTTAATCTTTTGATACAAGCATTAATAGATATGCACTTACTTGATAAGACATTTTTTGACTTAGTCTAACAAAGCAGTGGATTAATGGTTTGTCCTCTCTTTTCTTTTTTTCTCTAGTGCAACAGAATGGAGTACGACACTGCTCCTACTCGGCATCAAGGAAAAATCTGTATATTAGCAAAAATACAAAGGTTATCTGTCAGGGTTTTACAGGGAAACAGGTATGTATATGAACTATTTCTTCTGTCACCCTTTCAGTTCAGAAAGTTAGTTGGCCAAACCCCATAAAAACATATAAAAGGGATTATATACTGGCTTTCCTGTGTTGATAGGAAGCTGGACTTCATGATCAGGAAGATCCCTTCAGCATTGTAGTTTCCTTTCTTTGGTCCAAATAGACTTTTTATTTTTCTTAAATTCAGTAGACTAGATTTTTTTTTTTTTTACTTGTACCCAAGCTTAAAAATTGTTTTTGAGACATCTCTGTTATATTACTTTTTATTTTTGTTGTTGGTTTTGGTCTTAAGCCTTTTTATTGTATACAGCTGAGAGGGTTTCTTTGTAAAAGGAGATTTGCAAAAAACTACAAAACGCTTACCATTTTAGAAGTGCCTCTTTCACAAATGCATTTGAATGTCAATGCCTATGAATTAAATTTCTGTTTTTATTTCAGGATATTTAGTAATTTTCTGACGTTCAATCTTTTACATGTTTGCGGGGGAGAAGACTGCTTTTGCTAAAACTATCAGCTAGTCATGGAAGAAAATGTGAATTTGTTCTATTTCATTATAGTGTTTGTCATCTGCCAGACTTAATATGGAAAATAAAATGTGCCTGCCATGCCTGCAGATGTATTAGCAATGCACAACAAAATATCCTTTAGTGTGCAATACATAAAGGATATTTATTTAAAAGAAAAGCATAGCATATTCTGAATCAATTTAAAACATGTTGATGCGCTTCAAAATAGCTGGTTGTATATGTAGTGAAGACTTCCCTTCTGATTGCAAATTTAAGTGCCGTAAAGTGCCTTCAGAATTACAGATAACACCAACTTATTTTGGTTCATTTTGTTTGCTATTACATGCATTTTAACTTCAGTTATTTTCTCTCTCATAGGGCACCTTTCACAGCCAGCAGGCGTTGGACTATGGCACCAGTCTAGTTGGAGGAACTTCTCCAGGGAAAGGGGGAAAAACTCATCTGGGTCTGCCTGTGTTTAATTCTGTGAAGGAGGTAATTTGCAGCAATGACTGGAGGGCAGACAATTTCATGCTGCTGAAGGGCTCCTTATTTCATTGCTCACACTGAAGAGACAAATATTTGAGGCATGGATGTCACTGTGCAAGGAGTGAAATAGAAGCCTTGTAAAAAGAGGGAGCATTCAGCGTGGTCAAGCATGAGTTTGGCTTCCACTGTGAATTCACAGTGTCTGAATACACTTCCTTTATGCATGCAGCTGATTTCTGATTGATTCTGGTGTGTATGATGAATTTTTAGGAAACTATTGTCTGATGGTATTGATGGTGGTGTTCATGGGGCAGAACCTTTCCTGTCAGTTAGTTCTCAGTTCCCTATTTGCACTATACATGTCCCGTCTGCAGTGAATTTAACACTTGCATTGATTATAATAATTTAATATATATCCATTCACTGAATTTATACCTATGAATGGAGATATTTTAAATGACCAGTTGTCAGATGTTCTCTTCCACTCCACTAAATGCTTGGTATCTTTTGTTATGTCTGTTGTAGGCCAAAGAACAAACAGGCGCTTCTGCCACTGTTATATATGTACCTCCTCCGTTTGCTGCTGCTGCGATCAATGAAGCAATCGATGCAGAAATGCCCTTAGTTGTATGCATTACTGAAGGTATTCCCCAGCAGGACATGGTTCGGGTTAAACACAGACTGCTTCGGCAGGATAAGACTCGACTAGTGGGCCCGAACTGCCCTGGAGTCATCAATGTAAGTGACTTCTGGATTTGCTCCAAGGCTGAACCATTCTTAGTGATGGTT